GCTTGATCCCCAGTGCGGGGCATGCAGGAGGCAGCCGATCAATGATTCTCTCTCATCATTGATGTTTCTATCTCTTGCTCCCTCTCCCTTCCTCTCTGAAGTCAATAAAAATATTTTTTTAAAAAATAAATAAATCCTAGTTTGAACACAGTGAAGAGGGTCAGAAGATCAGTCTGACTTTATTCGCATTATCCCTCTCCCAAGGTGGCACATATGAGCGCCAAGAGAGGTCTTCTCTGCTCGTGATCTCTCCCCCAGAGGAAAGTGAGTGTGTGTGAGTGAGCATCTGGACTCCCTGCCTGTACCAGACTCTGCCCAAGGGGCTCTTTTCTCTCTTGCCCCATCTGGAGTACTGAACGGTGACTGCATAACCAAGGGGGGCAGGAAGAAGCAGAGAGAGCAGTAGATAGAACTCTCAGGGGGCATTGAAGTGATATGGATCCTACCAACTACATGACAGACTGCATCATGCAGCCTTCCCATGAGCCCCTAGAGATGCTTTGCCGGCAAGCCTCTCCCCATTGTCCCACAGGCACCCCCAGTACTCCTCGGGCCTTACCCACATATGCACACATACTATGGCTGGCTCCCTGTGCATTTTCCCAATGGCAGCAGCAATAGCAAGATTTGGCAGATGGCTAGTGAGCATGGGCAGAAAGTTGGCCCAAATCTGTGGACAAGAGAGAGACCACAGAACTTAAGCTTCAGTGCAGTCTTTGGAGAAAAAAGAAGGGGGGAGACTGTCCGCACTTGACCTGGTGTGTTTCAAGATCAAGAGAAGACATACTACAAGCTTAAGATCTCTGCCACAAGAGGGAGCAAGAAGCGTGAAGCAGGTGTATCCATAGAAGGTCTGAGAAAACCTCAGAATCTCTAGCAAGGATGATGGGAGGTCTTTCTCTCCAGAAGGCAGTTAGTAAAGACCGGAGGAGAGATTGTTACTTTAAATGCAAAGACAACAACGCAAAACTTCAAGGGAAAGAAAATCAAGAAAACATGACACCACTAAAGGATCATGATAATCATCCAGTAACCATCCCAAAGACATGGACATCTGCAACTTACCCAATAAATAATTCAAAATACTTATTTAGGGAAACTTAATTAGCTACAAGAAAACACAGAATGACAATTCAAAGAAATCAGCGAACAATACATGAACAAAATAAAATAAAAGTTTAAGAGATAAAAATCATTAAAAAAAAAAGAATCAACCAGAAAGTCTGGAGCTGAGAATACAATGAATGAAATGAGTAATATGATATATGCAAATGAGAAATGCAATAGAGAACATGAACAGCAGAATGAATCAAGCAGAAGAAATAGTCTGAGTTAGAAGACAAGAACCTTGGAATTATGTAGTCAGAGAAGAACAGAAAAAGATAAAACTGAAGAAAGCTTACGTGATCTGTGGGATACCATCAAGAGAATGAATGGCAAACTTTTGAAGTCCAGAGGAAGAGAGAAATAAAGTGACAGAAAACTTCGCAGATCTGGGGAGAGATTTGAATATCCATGTTCACAAAGCGCATAAGTCACCAAAGAAACTCAGAGATCCCCTCCAACACACATTATAATAAAATTGTCAAAAATCAAAGAAAAGAAATCTTAAAACCAGCAAGAGAAAATAAACTTGTAACTTAAAAAGAAACTCCCATAAGGCTCTTAGTGGATTTGTCAGCTATGAAAATGTACAACATACTGATAAAGGTAAGTATGCATCAAATACAGAATACTCTAATACTGTAAAGTGGTGATGTGTTAGCCACTTAACTTTAGTATAAAGGCTAAAAGACAAGAGTATTAAAAATAACTATAGCCATCACAATTATTAATGAGTACACACATAAAACTGGTAAATCGTGACATGAAAAACATGAAAGGGAGGAGTAAATGAGTCGTTTTTGGTGCAACTGAAGTTTAGCGTTATCACCACAAAGCAGACTGTCATATCTAGAGGATGTTTCATATAGGCCTCTTGGTTATCACAGAGCAAAAACCTACAGCAGATTACTAAAGATCAAAGGGAATGAAAGCATACCAGTATGCAAAATCATCAATTCACAAAAGAATACAGCAAGAAAAGGAAGAAAGGAACAAGGGAACCACAAAACAGCCAGAAAACAATAAGATAGTCCTCACCTATCGATAATTACTCCAAATGTAAATTGATTGAATTTTTCAATCAAAAGACAGAGTGGCTAGATAGAAAAAAACAAAACAAACAAACAAAGAAAAGCGCAGGACCAGATGTTTCTCTGGTGAATTCTACTAAACATTTAAAGAACCAATGCCATTCCTACTCAAAATATTCTCAAGAATTGAAAGGAAGGAAACACTCCCAAACTTATTTTATGAAGCTATCATTACCCTGATACCAAAGTCAGTAAGGGAACTACAAGAAAAGGCCAATAGCCACTATAACTATAGGTGTAAATATTAGCAAATGGAATTCAACAGCACCATCATCAAGTGATATTTATCCTTGGGATGCAAGGGTGATTCAACATAGGAAAATTAATAAATGTGAAAGTTAAAAAAAACTATATTATCATCTTGACAGATGCAGAAAAAAGCATTTGATAAAGTGCTTAGACTCATTTTTTTAATCTTTCATGATAAAAAAAAGTATCAACAAATTGGGATAGAAGACGTGTACCTCAATACAATAAAGACCACATATGACAACCTTACAGCTAACATCATGCTCAACAGTGCAAGTCTGAAAGCTTTTTCTCTAAGATCAGGACCAAGACAAGGATGTCCACTCTCACAGTCCTATTCAACATAGTACTGAAAGTACTAACCAGAGCAATCAGACAAGAAAAAATAAATAAAAGACATTCTAATCAGAAAGGAAGAAGTAAAAATGTTTTTGTTTGCAGATATGATCATATATATAGAAAATCTTAAAGACTCCACCAAAAAACTGTTATAACCAACCAACAACTTTGGTAGAGTTGCAGGATAATCAGTTGCATTTCTATACATTAACAACAAAATATTTGGACAAAAAGAAAGAATCCCATTCACAATAGCATCAAAAATATAACATACTTAGGAATAAATTTATCCAAATTGATATACAAATTTAACTCCATTCCTATCAAAATTCCAGCAAGATTTTTTATGGATATAGATAAGAGTATTCTAAATTTTTTATGGAGAGGCAAATGAACTAGAATCACTAAAATAATTTTGAAAAAGGAGAACATGGCAGAAATCACTCTGCCTTATTCTACAGCTATAATAATTAAGTCTGCATGTTATTGATAGAGGAATAGGCACATAAATCAGTGGAACAGCACAGAAAACCCAAGCATAGCCACAAACAAATACAGACAGCTGGTTTTTGACAAAAGTGAAAAATCAATTCAATGGAAGGTAGTCTTTTCAACAAATGGTGCTGGAGCAATTGGACTTCCATCAGCAAAAATATGAACCTTGACCTAACAACATCTTATACAAAAATTCAAAATTAATTAATCCAACATTAATGGCACATAGACTTAAATGTAAAATATAAAACTATAAAATGTTTACAATATAAGAAACCATAGGAGAGAGTCTTTGGGACTTAGAGTTAGGCAAAGAGTTCTTACACTTGATACTAAAGCATCTATATATATAAAAGCCAAGCAACCAGAACAACAGAACGACTGGAATGACCGGTCGCTATGACACACACTGCGGCGGCCAACTGGCCCTGTCGGAGTCCCGATTGGCCCCAATCAGGGTGGAGGGGGGCCAGATGGACCCCACCTGTGCACAAATTTTTGCACTGGGCCTCTAGTAATCCATAAAAGGAAAAATTGACAAATTGGACTTCATCAAAATAAAAAAAACTTTTACTCGGAGAAAGACCCTGTTAAGAATATGAAAGACAAGTTACCAACTGGGAGAAAATATTTGCAAGCCACATACATAGCCAACAAAGGACTAGTATCTGGAATGTACAAAGAATTCTCACAATTCAACAATATAGAAAAACGCCACCAGACCTTGGACTGAGGAGGATACGCAGTTGGCTAATAAGCACTTGCTTAACCATCAGAGAAGAGTCATTACCCTGCTCTTCCCACGAATCTTAGCAAAACTCCCCAATTCTCCGGAGGCCGTCCCTGGCCCCCTCTTACCTCCCTTTGCCCTTCTCCCAGCCTAAAGCTGCCTTCCCTTATTTGGTCCTCAGAGGCTCTCTCTATTCCTACATTAGCCCTCCCCGTCTCCTCCATGCTTTGGACCTTATCTCAGTGTCAGGCGGAAGGCAATCCTGGGGCAGCCACTGAAAAGGGAGGCAGGGTGGTAAAGGGAAGGGGGACTTTCAGGCATGGGGAGGAGGGGAAGAGGTTGAACTCAGCTGAGTTGAGGCCGAGGAGTCTTTTTGGTGATCCCCGCATCAAACCAGAAGCCACCAAATTATTTCCCCTCTCTTCTCAGATCTGCAAGCCTGGACTTGAGATTTTCTATTCCCTAAGCAGCAAAGCCTTTGCTCTTCTATTCAAATCAGTCTTGAATGTGCCACTTAATGGCCAGGAAGCTGACCTCTGGTTATTTCACATCCAAAATATGGTCAAAGTGGAAGAGGCATGTCAGGTGAAGGGGCAGGCCAAATTACTCACTGCAGAGTGGGGGGGAACTGGCGAGTGTGTGATCCATAGGGACCCATAGACTCGGACTTAAAACAGTGGAGGGTGGAGGCCCTCAGGATCTTTTGAAACTCCCAGGTGGAATCCAGGTCGGATGTACATCCTGCATGGACCTTTCCTACCCAGCCAGGATATCCTGTGTTTGTCGAAAGGACTGCACAGGGAAGCCCTGACCATTGTCCTTCCCCAAATCTGCCAGTCAGCCCCTCCCAGCCTGCGGCAGCCACCACAGGCAGAGGAAGAGTAACTCTGGAAACCGGGTTATCAGCATCCTCCATGGACTTCCTCACCTCCTCCCAGGCCTCATTAGCTCCAAGCTCCTTAGCATCCTCCAACAGAAATCCGGGAGGCCGGGATAGGGTCAACGCTCTGAAGTCAGCCCCCTGGCTTTTGCCAAGACCTGCCTCTGCACAGCTCTGAGTGGACAGCTGGAGGCTGCAGCTGGAGGCCTGGGCCCCGATGGAGCCCCGGCTGGGGCCGGGGGCGGCTGCCCTCTGCCTGGGCTGGCCGGCTCAGCTGCTCTGGGTCTCAGCCCTGGGCTCTGCTGTCTCCTCGCCGGCTCCTCCTTCTCCCAGAACCAGCTACAGTTTGGGAAGGACTGTCCTCGGCCTTGATAAATGCAATGCCTGCATTGGAACATCTATTTGCAAGAAGTTTTTTAAAGAAGAAATAAGGTCAGAATCTCAATCAGATCGTTCTGAGGGGCAACATTCTGTTCCTGTGATGAAAGATGTCCAGGAGTTTGTTGAAAAGGAGCCAGGTTGTAATTTATGGGCGGGAGCTGAAGCAACGCCATTTAATCAGAGTAGCAGCGGGTTGAAGTTGGGGTGGAGAGGGGGGTCAGGTGTGAAGCCAAGTTCCAGCCCTAATTGCTAAATTCAAAGTGTCCTTTTGAAGTGAGAGCTTAAAGTTTTCTCTTCTATGAAGGGAGTAATCTGGGACTATGGCATTGACCAAGTTCATTTCTCAAAGGGGCGGGGGGAATAAAATTTATAGAAAACCTACTATGTGGCAGACTTTTTATGTGTGTGTGTTAATCTTCACCCAAGGATATTTTTCCATTGATTTTTAGAGAAAGTGGAAGGGAGAGGGAGAGACAGAGAGAAACATCGATGTGAGAGAGACACATCGATTGGTTGCCTCCTGCACGTACCCCGACCAGGGCCGGGGAACCTGAAACCAAGGTACGTGCCCTTGACCGAAATCAAACCCAGGACACTTCAGTCTGAGGGCTGACACCCTATCTACTGAGCCAAACCGCTAGGGCGTAACAGACATTTTTAAGCTATTTTTATATACTCACTTCATGCTGGGAGTTAGTGTTTTTTACTCATTATTCGGATAGCAAACTGAGATATATCAAGATTAAGGGTCTTGTTCAAGGTCACCACCTAATAAGTGGCAGATCTGGGATTCAAGCCAGGGTGGTTTGCTCCAAAGTTTCTGAACCAGTTTTCTGTTGTGAGATGTTGCCTTGACCGGAGGAAAAGCCGAGTTTAGTAAATTGTAATGCACGTGGCTGTCATCAAAGAAGGGATCACACTCTGGAAGCCAAGCCTGTCAACACGCAGTCAATGAGCCTTTATCACGGCCAAGACCCGGCAGGGGTTGTAGCAACATGGCTATCACTCTGGCCACTGCCCTCCAGGGGTTTGGGCGGAGGGAGCTGTGTTACAAATAACAACAATAAGGCCTGGCCTGATGCAGGCCAAAAGCGAAGTGTAAAGGACCTCTGGGAACTAGAAGAAGGGGATATTAATTCCAAATGGGGACTGGGGAATGGCTTCTCCAGGGAAAAGCATTCTGAGCAAGGCCTGGAAGGTTGAGCTGAAATTTAGTGGGAAGGGAAGGGCTTTCGGTAGAAGGACCAACTTAAGCAAAGACCCAGAGGTGTGGGAAGAAGTGAAAAGCGCTTAGTGACTGGAGCATGGGGTATACGCGGAAGCGTGAGAGGAGGAGGAGGATTGGGAAAGTCAGATGGTGCAGGGAGCCTTGAATGCTGTGCCCAGGAATTGGGACCTTAACCTGTAGACAGTGGTTCCCAGCCTTTTCAATACCCAAGGCCCTTTGTATAGGTCTCTTCTCTGCCCAACCCTAAAAACGTGTCTCAGGTGTATAAGATTTGGTGACTAAACAGAAGGTATTAATTTAAAATAATTTTATTTCCAATCAGTATTAACCAAAGGTATATTTGATTATTCAACTAAGTTACTAAACAGAAATAACAAATAGAAAATCATCAGAAGTGTTGGACTTCTTTAAATATATTTTTTTTATTGATTTCAGAGAGAGAGAGAAGGATAGAAACATCAATGATGGGAGAGAATCGTTGATTGGCTGCCTCCTGCATGCCCTTTACTGGGGATGGAGCCCACAACCAAGGCATGTTCCCTGATGGGGAACTAAACCGTGGTTCATAGGTGGATGCTCAACCACTGAGCCACACTGGCTGGGCCAGAAGTGTTGAACTTCTTTTGCAAGATGCTAGTTATTGCATGGAGTTCATGTGGACTTTCCCTATTAGGGCTGTTTTTAAGGCATTTTGAAAGTTGAACGCCCTCACCTCCCCCACCCCCCAGACACAAACACAATTGGGGAAGCTAACATTTTGTCTGACCTTGGGCAAGGTCCTTAAGCTCTGTAAGCATCAGTCTCCACATCTGTAGAGTGGGGGGAGGAGGTGTTAGAAGAATCAAAGGTACAAGCCAGTGTAAAGCTGCTGTCTTTACATGGAGTAGAAGTTCAGAGAGCCATGGCTAGTCCTTCTGTGCTGGTTGCACCAAGAGGATAAGGTTTGTGTCTGGCATGAACCTCCCTCGACTATTCTGCCATCTATACACTTCCCTAAGTGCGAGGAAACAAAAGCAGCCCTCGCATAGAAAGAGTTCAGAGCGCCCCAGTCTAAAACTGAGGGATGGATCAGACCAGCTGTGGTCCCCTGTGTCGCTGTCTCCCCCCGCCCCCACCTCCCCGGGGCTCTGCTGGCCTCTGGTTCTGGCAGTGTTGTGACTAGTCCCTGCTTGGCCCCTGCTTCGCCTCCCAGGTGGATCCTAAAAGGGCTCTTCTTCCAGGTTTGACAGCTGGCTGGCCACCCACGTCGAACTGCCTCTGGGCTACTTGCCTTCGTACCCTGCAAATTACTCAGATGATTCCAAAACCTGGCGCCCCGTGGAGATATCGAGGCTGGTCAGCAAACACCAGCATGAAATCTCAGACAGGAGAATCTGCGCCTCTGCCGCAGCCCCAAAGACCTGCAGCATCGAGCGTGTCCTGAGGAAAACAGGAAGGTTCCAGAAATGGCTGCAGGCCAAGCGCCTCACGCCCGACCTGGTGCAGGTAAGCGGGGCTGGTCCTGTGGCTGGAGACTTGGGGGGGCGAGATGGAGGAGGTGTGTGTTCCCATCTCACACCTCTGTCTGGGGAAAAGGCGTTGTGTTCTGTCTAAGGGACAAAGCAATGCCATGAAACAGGGGCTTGTGACAAGAAAGGAACTAAACAAGATTGATCCGTTCATCCTGATGAGCTTATGGATATGCAGACACTTTGCAGAAAGTCTATCCGCCTGGAAATGCACGGCCCAGTGTTTTGTAATATGCGGGTCCCATTCTTCAGTCGGTTGTGCCAAAACTTTACCAGTTTTCTCATCTTGTGTTCACAGCAGCTAAACAAGCTTTCCTTATTTCTGCCAAAAATGCATCCATTAACACCTTGTTCAAACACAGACAGAGCCATAACCATTTTCACTTCACTCTGACCCTCTCCTAGCCCATCTTTTCATCCCCAGCAGAGATTTTTCCCTTCCTTATAAAAGACAAGAAAATATCAACAGCTGTTTTATAAATTGTGGACAAAGTCCATTCCTGCTCCATCCACCAAGATCAAGGTCATTGCCATCCCATGTTGGCACCATCTCCTGTCCCCCTTTCCAGAGACCCTTGGCCCTAGGGTTCCACCACATGCCCAACAAGCTCTACACCAGTGCTTCTCAACCTTCCTAATGTGGCGACCCTTTAATACAGTTCCTCATGTTGTGGTGACCCCCAATTTCATTGTTACACATTGAACATAATTAAAGCATAGTGATTCATCACAAAAACAATATGTAATTATATATGTGTTTTCCGATGGTCTTAGGCGACCCCTGTGAAAGGGTCGTTCGACCCCCAAAGGGGTGGCGACCCACAGGTTGAGCACCGCTGCTCTACACCCTTTCCTTCCCATGCAGGTAGCATCCAAACTCCTGCTCTTTCCTTCTTATCAAAACTCACCTATCAGACTGTTTTGAGAAGATCCATCATTAACAAAGGGGGGGGGGAGGGCAAACTCAGCCACCCAAGAGAATTGAAAACAGGTGCTTAAGCAAACACTTGTGCATGAATATTTATAGCAGCACTGTTCAGAGTAGCCAAAAGGTGGAAACAACCCAAATGTCCATCAACTAATGAATGCATACACAAAATATGTTATACCCGTACAATGGAATATTATCCCGTCATAGAAAGGAATGACGTACTGATGCATGCGACAACATGGATGAACCCTGGAAAAATCATGCCAATAAAAGAAGCCAGACACAAAAGCACAAATATTGTATGATTCTATGTTTAAGAAATGTCCAAAATAGACAAATCCATAGAGGCAACAATCAGGTTAGTGGTTGCCAGGGGCTGAGGGGAAGAATTAGGAGTGACTGCTTCATGGGTACAGGGTTTCTTTGGGGGATGACGAAAAAATTCTGGAGTTGGAGAGTGATGATATATGCACAGCCCTGTGAGTGTACTAAAATCCACTGAATTGTACACTTAAAAATAGTTAAGTGGCCTAGCCAGCGTGGCTCAGTGGTTGAATATCGACCTATGAACTAGGAGGTCACGATTTGATTCCCGGTCAGGGCACATGCCCAGGTTGCAGGCTCGATCCCCAGTAGGGGGCGTGCAGAAGGCAGCCGATCAATGATTCTCTCTCATCATTGATGTTTCTCTCTTGCTCCCCCTCCCTTCCTCTCTGAAATCAATAAAAATATTTTTAAACAAATAAAATAAAATAGTGGTGAATTTTATAATATGTGAATTGTACTTCAATTTTTAAAAAGAAACAATAAGCCATTTTAAAAATTTCACCAATCCTCTGATCCTATTGTAGTGGTTCTCAACCTTCCTAATGCCGCGACCCTTTAATACAGTTTCTCATGTTGTGGTGACCCCCAATTTCATTGTTACAAATTGAACATAATTAAAGCATTTTAATCACAAAAACAATATGTAATTATATATGTGTTTTCTGATGGTCTTAGGCGACCCCTGTGAAAGGGTCATTCGACCCCCAAAGGGGTCACGACCCACAGGTTGAGAACTGCTGTCTTAGAGCCTTGAGGTGATGGGCAGCGAAATCTAATCATCTCATTCACGTCAGGATGTTAACAGCTAACAGCATCTCACCGTTAGCCCTCCAAGGAGCCATTTGCCTATAAAGCCAATCTTATACAGCTCCCACTAGCCTGTCCCATTACTAGCTCAGACCTTCCTAACACATCCTTGCATTTTTCCTCCCACTAAATCCAGACGCGGCCGCCGAATCCTTCTTAATAACGATCCACACAAGCAGCCTTTGCCATGACCTCGGGTGGAATATGTGACTAAAGCAATTTCTAAGTTACCATTCATTTCAGATTTGGCTAAACACAAATCCTAATTTCTGGTTTGAAAATTATGATATTGCTCTATTTATATGGGAGTTGCAGGAGCCAACAGGAGAAAGACTGTAGGATGGACAGTAGGGAGACTTGCTTCATCTTTCAACTCCTACCACATGACCCAGGGCCTACCCGTGGGGCCAGCCTCAGGGACTCTCTCAGAATATGACATAAGTGGGTTTTCACTGATTTCCTCAAAAGCCACTTTCCAACAGGTATCCATGCTAGAGCCCTCAAGTGAGCATACCTACATGTGTGTCGGTGTGTGTTTGAGAGAAGAAACTCACAGGGTTTGCTCAGAGAAGTGGAAAGGGAGAGAAGGAGAGGAGATACAAAAGAAAATTGAAGCCCTGGCTGGTTTGGCTCAGTGGATAGAGTGTTGGCCTTCAGACTGAAGGGTCCCAGGTTCAATTCTGGCCAAGGGCACATGCCTGGGTTGCGGGCTTGATCCCCAGCAGGGGGCGTGTAGGAGGCAGCCGGTCCATGATTCTCTCTCATCATTGATGTTTCCTCTCCCTCTCTCTCTCCCTCTCTCTCTCTCTCCCCCCCTTCCCTCTCCCTCTCCCTCTCCCTTCCTCTTTGAAATCAGTAAGAATCTATTTTTAAAAAAGAAAAAGAAAATTGAAGGCAGGATGGATCTGACTGATGCAGGAACCTCAGAACTTTGACTGTCAGTTCTCCTTATGAATAAAGTCAACTTGGACAAAAAGCCCCAGTTGCCACCATCAGAGACTGAGCCAGGGAGCCCGTGCTTCCCCTCCTGCAGGGGCACGTCTGCAAAGGAACCAGAACCAGGAATTAGCAAGAGGGTGAAGCAACACAATGTATGTGTATGTGCGTCCCTGTGTGTGCGTGTCCCTGTGTGTGTGTGTCCCTGTGTGTGTCCCTGTGTGTGTGTCCCTGTGTGTGTGTCCCTTTGTGTGTGTGTCCCCGTGTGTGTGTGTGTGTGTGTGTGTGTGTGGCACTTAGGCTAACATAACCGTGACTTTTATCCTCTAAAAGCTGCATTGTTCAGATGGGAGTGTTTCACGGCCTACATTCCTAGTCCACAAACAGAAACTCAGCCAAGAACCCCGCCCAGGTTATCATGATGTGCTTGTTCAAAAAGCCACCACAAAGAAGGTTTCCTCTGCTATTAAGCCAGGCGCAGAGGCAACGACCCTCCAACTACCCTCAGCAGCACTCGGCTAATCAGGGGAAAACACCGATCCTCCACCGTGTCCCTTCTCATCCCTCAACTACCAGCTGCTTCCCACATTGCTCCAAACACAAACCCTGCGTCTTCCTCAAGTGGGAAGGGACTTGATTGACGTGGAGGCTTTGTTCCCACGACTAGATGGTGGTATAGAATGTTCCGGAAGCTTTTTTTAAACAAGAATGGCTGACAATTTTACTTCCTTGATCTCAATTATTTGTTTAAATAGAATAAGGGAAATAAGCATATTAACCAAAATGCGCATTAACAATTTAATCAGAATGAGGGTTTAGAGGTAAATACGAAACAAATAAAATTTACTTTTGTTTAAATTTAATTAAAACATACTTAAGGGGTGTTTACAGGCCCCAGGAAGGTATATAAGTGTCAAGACAAGGCCCCTGCTCCATGGGAGGTGACTCCCTAATGGGAGAGAGAGGCCATATTCAACTGGTTCAGATACAAGGCAGGTTATGATAAAGTGTTCAAGTGACAATGGACATTTTATATTGGAGCCACAGTTAGTTTTCAGACTATAAATATTTTCATCTCTCACAGGCTACCAGGTCAAGGACTAAACATTGCATTTGTTCTTTAAAAATAACATGGCTATAGCCCAGCCGGTGTGGCTCAATGCTTGAGCATTGACCTATGAACCAGGAGGTCACAGTTCCATTCCCACTCTGGGCACATGCTCGGGGTTGTGGACTCAATCCCCAGTGTGGGGCGTGCAGGAGGCAGCCGATCCATGATTCTCTCTCATCATGGATGTTCCTATCTCTCCCTTTCTGTAATCAATAAAAAATATTTTTAAAGAATAATAATAAATAAAAATAACATGGCTATATTGATGGGGGGAAAGAAAAACAACTGACTGATGGCTGAGGATGAAATGACTATGAAGGAAAAGGAAATTTAAGCAAGTGAAATGCCTTGCCCCTCTCACACAGGGCAATATGCCCAGGACATCCACACACACCCTCTGGCTGAACAGTCTTCTGGAAAGTACAGCCCCTTCACAGATGCGTTGTGACCACGAGATCATGACACTTTGCTCCCCGTGACCCTTGGGAAGTAGTCATGGTGATTCCTTTGCTGCCCATGGATGGGCGTTTTAGGTGCCAACCAGAGAAAGATTATGGCCTGGATGCTGCCCTCCAGCCGCCCCTCCCCCCCCGCCACACACACACACACACACACACACACACACACACAGCCCACTTCCGATCATGGAATCGTAGAGAGTTGAAATCAACTAAACTTTGACTCATAGGATTTGTTTAGGGTTAAAACCACTGAGACTTTATGACCTTTAGCATTTAAAAAATTTTTTTTAAATTTGAGAGGTTTTGTGATCTAATAAACAGTTTTTAGAACATAATCAATATAGCTATTAGTTTATCATTGATTCTTTTGAGTGTCTTTATAGTTCAGTGGTTCTCAACCTTCCTCATGCCGCGACCCTTTAATACAGTTCCTCATGTTGTGGTGACCCCCAACCATAAAATTATTGTCGTGGCTACTTCATCACTGTAATGTTGCTACTGTTATGAATCGTCATGTAAATATCTGATACGCAGGATGTATTTTCATTGTTACAAATTGAACATAATTAAAGCATAGTGATTCATCACAAAAACAATATGTAATTATGTATGTGTTTTCCGATGGTCTTAGGCGACCCCTGTGAAAGGGTCATTCGACCCCCAAAGGGGTCACGACCCACAGGTTGAGAACCGCTGTTATAGACTGTGGTGAAGAAGTGTGCCCATCACTCTCAGTCCCACCCTGTACAGAAGGCCCCTGCTAAGTGCCCGGCTGTGGTAGATCAGCAGGCATCCCCACCGGCCTCGGCCAGTCTATTCTGCTCCTCATCTGGAGGCAGAAGCATGTGTTGGAGAAGGTCCCGGTCCCGCGGTGGCCCTGTGGTAGTCACCAAACACCTTGGTTTCCCAGGTTTAGCACTGAAAGCCCCATGTCTCAGGAAACCTTCAGTCACAGCAAACGGGATGGCTGACAACCTCCCCCTTCCTGGGTCTGTCCCCTCCCAGGGCCCACTTGCCCACCCTCCCCAACCCCAGGGTGTCCCCTACCAGCAGGGCCTGCCAATGCCCTGACCTGCTTCTCCCCGCCCCCCCCTCCCGTCCCCAGGGCCTGCCCAGCCCTCTCCTGGGCTGCCC